CTAAGCGAGATATCTTGATCCTAGGTACCTATATCCTCGTCGCTATACTGAAAATCTACTTGACTAAGCGGTATACCTAGTTACCTAAAAGGAAAATCTGAATTCTCGGAAGCTATTTCCTCGTCTTCTTCTTCTTAGGCATTAACATAATCGAGGAGAGCCTAGAGATATTTATCCTCTGTCGTTAGGGATACCGTATTATCGTCCTAAGCATTCTCCTTATTAGCTAGAGGATAACTAGTTTGAACGCTAGGATTAGTATCTAGATCGTATTCCGAGCTCTTATTACCGCTCGAAATTACGATAGTCGCCTGCTTCTTACTGTCTGAATCGTTCAAACCCCTATTATCCTAATCGGCGCTAGGAGGATCTTAATCGTTCCCGTCTGTCTAGCTACTAGTATCTATATTATCCTAATCGGCGCTAGGAGGATCTTAATCGTTCCCGTCTGTCTAGCTACTAGTATCTACATTATCCTAATCGGTACTAGGAGGATCTTGATTGTTACCGTCTGTCTAGCTACCGGTATCGCTATTATCCTAATCGGTACTAGGAGGATCTTAATTGTTCCCGTCTGTCTAGCTACCGGTATCGCTATTATCCTAATCGGTACTAGGAGGATCTTAATTGTTCCCGTCTGTCTAGCTACCGGTGTCGCTATTATCCTAATCGGTACTAGGAGGATCTTGATTGTTAGCGTCTATCTAGCTACTAGTACCGGTTTAAGTACCCGTTTAAGCGCTAGGGTTATCGGGATTATCTAAGCTCTCGTCTTCGCTTAAGGACACGGGAGTCTTCTTTCTCTTCTTCGTAGTCGGCTTCTTTAGAGTTAGCTTCGATTTCGTCTTCTTCGTCTTTAATCGAGACTTATACATCGTACTCGGGTTAACTAGGCTAGAGCTATAGGGAGCAACTACGTAATTGTCTAGCTAGACATTCTACTCCTTTAGTAGCCTACGAAGATATTCGAGATCTTTCGCTATTACTATAACTCGCTTACAGTAGATAGCGAGAAGATTAGCTAACGAAAAGACTTTCGTTACTATACTCTCGTACTGTTCCTAGAGGATGCCGAGTACGCTCGCTTAGATCCGTATAGGGAGGTAGTCTTCGGTAAAAAGGATAATAGTATCCCTAACGATACGTACGAACGCGAGCTTTAGGATATAGTTTATAACCTCCGTCTAGCATTTTTTGATCTCCTATAAAGCTCCCTCTAAAAGAAATGTTAGTATATGCCGACTATATATACCGACTACGTCTGCCGACTAGGTATACTTACTACCTCTCTTTTTTTGATTTTTCTTTATACCTACGGATAGAAGCCCTTTCCTACCTATTGCGCTAGGGAGTCTCTTTCCAGATGTTTGTAGTACCTTTCTAGCGATTAAAAGCTTACGGCGCGCTGCGAGTGACGGCGCTATAACGATAGTAGTAGTAGGCGGTATAGTAGGCAGAGCAGTAGGCGGAGTAGTAGGTAGAGCAGTAGGCAGAGCAGTAGGCGGAGGCTAGAAGAGGTTATAGCGGGTAGGGGGCAAGGCGGGAGGGGGGGGGTTAACAACTAATGTTAATATCGCAAGTTAGGTTTTTTTGGAAGTAGGGAATACCTTTGAAGGCGGCGGAATTCAGGGTCTAGGGGCGCGACCAATCAGAAGCGAGGGATTCTTTGTCTACGTAGGGTAGGTACCTACCGTTTTTGGACAATAGAAGTAAGAAATAGTAAAGTAAGATCGCCGGAAATAGGAAATATTGATATAACGACCGTATAAGCAGTACCTAGCCCGTAAACAAGAGACCTAGAGATTTATATAGATATAATTAGTACGGGAGACAACATCTTACGGAAGCTTGTTTTCGGGTTATCTTATATATCTAGTACTAATTCTTCAAGTACTAGCCTCGAAAACGATATTAGGAGTATATAGTCGGCAGACGTAATCGGCGAATTGCTGTAAGATCAAAGCTCGGTACTTGAATTCGCTTCTCCTACGAAGCGCTTCCGAATCCAGCGACAAAGTTTCATATCCTTCTATTATAAGGTTACCCGTTTTGCGTAAATCGCTAGTATATTAGAGACTTCGAACTCCTATATAAGAAAAGCTTCCGTTGCTTCCTATAAGCAAAGTAGAGCCTTAGCTTGAAAACGGTATATACTATTGCTAGCTGTTAGGATCCAGACTAGACAGCGATACAGACATCTTAGGACAGACCCGGAAAGGCCCGGAAGTACCTAAGATAGGCTAGAACGGGCTACTACGATTTAAGAGGGTTCAGGCTAGGCCTTTACCGCTAATACTAAGTTAAGATAGTTTATAGAGAGTCAGAATAGGAGATCTTAGATCGAGATATTCCAAATCAGATCCGAGGGGCTAGAGCCTCCGGATACTCCGAAGTTATACTTATATACAGAGGGAGAAGACGTATTCCTACTCTTCTCCTAAGCGATTCGAGTAGTATATTTCTATTAGATACTTTAGCCTATACATTATATCCTTTTATATACGAATCGCTTCTTTGTCGTATAACGAAGTATCTCTAACTATAGGTCCAAAGAATACGATACGCTTAGGATCGAGTACCTAGGACTCGGTAGCAACTAGTACCCTAACGGAAGTAGACGTCGTACTTTAGCTAGAAGCCGAAGAAACGGAGGCCGCTAAGGCCTAGCAACTCCTTCGAGTAAGCTAGGCTAGAGAGGAACGTACTAAGTTACTCTAGTAACTCAAACAATCCGACGCAATAATCTAATCTCTAACCGGAGTCCTCCTAACCGATAGACACGACCCTATCCTAAGCTATCCTAGCCTATCTCTAGCCTAATTTATTCCTAAACTACGAAACCCCTATATGTTTAAAGGAAAGAACAGACGCGACTAGATCGAATAGCGAGACGACTGCGAACGAATCTTCCGAAGAGCCCTAGGTTACTATACGGACGCCTAAACCAAGATTGAACTTGGAGAAGAATAGATAGCAACCGAACAATAATCCTAGTAGAGCCGGTTTATAGACTTACTCCGATCCTAACCGGCCTATAACGCCCTATCTTGGTCCGACTTTAAGGAATATATACTTAACACAATAGGTATACTCTAGGAAAGGCGACAAATTGCCTACAACGCGATCAAATCTATCGAACAGAACCTCCGAACCCTAACGGAGCTCTTAATAGACCTAAAGGAATACTAGGACGAGCTTAGAACGGAGGACGAATAAACTAAAGTTATAGAGTTCAAAAGCGCCCTAGACGGAAGGATTAAGCATCGGATCAATATTAATCTTACTACCTTTGCTACCGTTACGGCCCTCGAGGAAGTAGCAAATATTTACTAGAGGGCTATCTAGGCCGAAAGGGATTATCGCTAGAAGGACAAATGCGACAACAAACGCGGACAGTCCGATACTACTAGCGAAACCGCTATCTACGCGAAAAGGTCCTAAAGCTACTCTAAAGCGAGCTAACCCCTGTCGACAGGACGACTAAGTCGACCTAGAGATACTAGACCTCTACCTAGGTACTACGGATACGGCGAGACAGGCTATAAACGCCCGGAATGCCCTAACAAGGCGGCTTAGGAGAGCAAAGGATCCCTAAAAGCTAGCCCCGCCCCCTAGTGCTCCGGGTAGCGGGACAAGTAATATATATAGAGGAGTAACGACAATTAGCAGAGCTATACGGCCGACAGGCTACGAAGCTAGGGCTATATAATTTAATTAGGGTCAAAGTAACCCTAGAGGGACCGATAGGGCGGCGAAACATCTACGCTCTAGTAGACTATAGTACCTAGATAAACTTTCTAGACGGGGTAGTAGCTAAAGAAATAGGTTACACCCTAGAACGAGGGGCTTCGGCAAGGTACGAGACCTTGAATAGCTAAGCCCTCGCGGTCTCGGGATATACAAAGGTCCCTTTTAAAGTTTCGGCTAGTAATAGGTCGAAACGGGGCAGAACTGCCTATATTACCGTTAGAAGGATCTATAGGTTCGAAATAATCCTCGGCATACCGTAGCTAGAACAGTAGAACCCCTCGGTAAACTTCTTAACTAAGACATTAGCTTAGAAGAAGAAGACTAGACGCAAATAGTCCAAAGTAGCGATAATCGGCCTAGAACGGATGTGCGCTAAGCTCGTAGACCCTAGTACGGTCCTCTACGCAATATCCTTATTACTTATCGATAGGACGGACAAAGACCTAGAGAGGCTCCCTAAAGTATACCGACAGTACGTATCTATATTTTCTAGTAAGGATGCCTCTATTCTAGCCGATTATAGGCTATTTAAGCTCGGAATTAAGCTAGAGGAAGGTAAGATACTCCTATAGGGCCCTCTTTACAACCTTTCCGAGATAGAGTTAGAGGTTCTTCGAAACTACCTTAAAGAATACTTAGACCGAGGCTAGATTAGGCCCTCTCGCTCCCCTACCGGCGTAGGCATCCTCTTTACGAAGAAGAAGGACAGAGGTCTTAGGCTCTATATCGACTACCGGGGACTAAACGCCGTTACGGTCAAAAACAGATATCCCTTACTATTAATCCAAGAATCCCTAGATCAGTTGTCTAGAGCGAAGATCTTTACTAAGCTCGATATAAGAGACGCGTACTACCGACTTAGAATCAAGGAGGGTAACGAGTAGAAGACTGCATTCCGGACTAGATATAGCTACTTCGAGTATACCGTTATACCTTTCGGGCTTACTAATACCCCGGGTACGTTCTAAGGGTATATAAATAATATATTAAAGGACCTAATCGATATTATCTACGTAGTATACCTCGACGATATCCTTATCTACTCCTAGAATAAAGAGGATTATATCCGAGACGTAGCAACGGTCCTCGAACGGCTATAGAAGGCTAAGCTCTACGCCAAAATAACTAAGTATAACTTCTATAGGGACTAAGTTAGGTTCTTAGGGTACCTAGTTAGCCTAAGAGGGGTCGAGATAGAGCTAGAACGGGTCGCTACAGTCCGGGATTAGCTAGAACTAGAGTCCGTAAGAGACATTCGGATCTTTATCGGGTTTGCTAACTACTACCGACGATTTATACAATACTTCTCCCGAATTGCGGCCCCCCTAAATCGGTTAACGGAAAGAAAGGGCGATATAGCAAAGGGAGGACAGAAGCAACGGAATAAAGAGTCCGTAAAGATTAATCTACCCCCGGAGGCCAAGCAATCGTTCCTTAAGTTAAAGTAGGCTTTCTGCTCCGCGCCGATTCTAAAGCATTTCGACCTATTATAGGCTATCCGGGTAGAAACGGACGTATCGGGCTATACAATCTCGGGCGTTATAATGTAGCAATACGAGTTCTAGAGCAAGATACAATAGTTCCCGGTAGCCTTCTTCTCTCGCAAGATAGTCGCGGCAGAAAAGAACTACGACACCTATAATAGGGAACTCCTTGCTATAGTAGAATGTTTCAAAGCCTAGAGGCATTACTTGGAGGGCGCGCAGTACTAAGTTGAGTTAATAACCGACTATTACAACCTGCAATAGTTTATAACGACTAAAATCCTCTCCCGGAGATAGGTAAGATAGGCGGAATAGCTCGCTACTATAGACTTTAGGGTAGTCTATAGGGCAGGGAGCCTTAACGGGGCAGCGGACGGCGTAAGCAGACGTCTAGACTATATAGACCCCGACTATTCCGGCCGCTAGCTAAACTAGGAGGACTCCTCCGTCGTATTAAAAATACTACAGCGATAGATCAACCTAGAAGGGCCTACTACTAGCTAAGATAGCCCGGTACGGGCTATAATAGCAGTAAGAGAGGCAGCTAGCAACGCCTCGGGTTACCGCTACGACCTATAAGCAGAGATAAACCAGAGCCTAGTTAAGAGGATCCGAGAAGATACTGCCGTAGACGAAACGGTAGGAAAGGTCTCGAAAGCTAAAACTCTAGATCCTCTACTAATATAGACTCAAAGATAGACGTACGAAGACGGCCTATAGAGCTAGAACGACCGCATCTTTGTCCTAGAAGGACTATTAAGGCTCGAGATACTCCGAGAATACTACGATAACCCGATAGCGGGTTACTTCGGGTTCTAACGGACAATCGAACTCGTACTAAGGAGATTCTAGTAGCCTAAGGTACGAAGCTACGTAAAAGACTACACTTCGAGCTATACTACGTATACTAGAGTGAAACCGAGGAGATACAGACTATACGGCCTATTAGTAGCCGAAGACGCCTTAAGTGCCCTATAGGAAGACTTGACTATAGACTTCGTTACGGACCTCCCTCTATCTACCTTTATAGGCTATACCTACGACTGTATCTACGTAGTAATAGACAGATACTCCAAGATAGCCTATTATACCCTATGTCGGAAGGATATAACTGCCGAAGACCTAGCCGACCTCTTCCTACGAGACGTATTTCGCTTATATAGCATCCCGGTATTAATAGTAACGGATCGAGGGACGCTGTTTACCTTAAAATTCTAGAGTATATTCTACTACTACTTAGGCGTTCGGAGGGGCTTGAGCACCGCGTTCTATCCTTAGACGGATAGGCAGACAGAACGGCAGAATCAGACTATAGAATAATACCTCCGCGCCTACTACAACTACGAGCAGGACAATTGGGCAAGGCTGCTTAACATTACGGAGTTTGCCTATAACGATAGCTAATATACTTCTACCGGCGTAACCCCGTTCTAGATCTGTAACGTTAGAGACCTAGTACGGGCAAGATAGCCCGATATAGTCTAGAACGGGGGGAATGCCCTAAGGGCGGAGGCCTTAGCCGACAAAATAATCAGCCTCTAGAAGACCCTACGGGAGAGGCTCGTTAAAGCTAAATAGAGTTAAGCTAAGTACTACAACGAGGGGCGTAAGGCAAAGAAGTACGTAATCGGGGACAAGGTATACCTATCTACGAAGAACTTGTCTACGGCTAGAGACTCTAAGAAGCTCGACTATAAGTATATCGGACTATTCGAAGTTACCTATATAGTCAACGACGCAGTATATACCTTAGAACTGCCCGACGATATAAAAATCTACCCGACCTTCTACGTAAGTATACTAGAAGACTACATCGAGGCAGAATATACTAAGAGGGACTAGAATAACCCGAAATCGTTCGAGATAGACGACCCCGAAGTCTATAAAGTAGACAAGATTAAGGGATAGAAGGTAGACAGGCAGGGACGATAGGCATACCTAGTTTTATAGAAAGGGTATAGAGAAGAAGATAACTCCTAGGAGCTAGCGAGCAATATTAGCCCTATAGTAATAAAGGCATACTAGAACTGTATAAATCGGGAAGTAAAGGGCTAGGAAACGCCCGAGACGATATACATTAAGGCGTCAAAGCGGAAATCCCGTAGGAAGGGGGCGCCTTAGGGCAGAAATATATAGAGACAGCTATATAGCATATATAAGGAACACATTAATAAGTTACTAGAAAGAAAGAAGCATTGTTGCGAAGAATTATACAAATAGAGGGGGTATTATCTATAAATACCCGAAACACTCTAGAAACGGCCTAAAATAGCCTAGAACGCCCTAGTAACCCTAATTTGCTTAAGAGGACTTATTATCATCTCTATTATTATCCTCTCCTATAGGGGAATTATCGCCTTCGGAATTATCGGCCTTTAAACTAGTCCGTTTCATCGCCCGAGAGACCTTTAGTAGCCGCAACTTACGGAGATCGTAGCGAAGGGGGGTTTTTGCGGGGTGTTTGCCCTATAACGGGTCAGAATAGCCCGGAATAAGCTAAATAGGGGGATATATACTAAAACTCGATTTACCCGGTCAATATACTTATATAAACTGCGGATAGTAGTATTTGCCCGCTTAAGTCGGGACCGAGGGGCTACCTAGTTAGGTTATATATAGACGGAGGTAACCTTTTTCTTCTTTAGGGTACCCTCTATACCTAGCGCCTCTCTCTCTAGCTCGGCCCGGTGCCGGGCGACTATAGGGTCTACCTAGAGTCCGGACTTATCTATCTAGGGACCGCTAAGATAGACATAAAGATTGTTAACCCCCTAGAAGGCGGGAAATTTACTAGACTTAGTTAGCAACGCCCCAAAACGGCCCGGAATAGGGCAATTAGGAGATATATACCCCTTAAGGGTCTTGTAGAACGCGTCGGCAAGCGTCCTAGCCTTTACCGCGTTAGCCTAGCGCTTAGCAGGCGTAGTATCGTCCAGATCGTTAGCACGACGGAGGCTATCGATGAATTCGATAGTACCTCGGTACACCGCGGGTACCTATAAGGCGGTTAGGACCGGTCTAAGCTAGAACGCCCTAGAATAGGCCGGAACGATACCTAGAAGCAGTAGCCGGACCGGGTAGTACACTTTTGGCAAGATATAGGGCTAGTGTCTTAAAGATAGCGGAGGGCAGTATTAAGGTCCGTCTAACCGGTCCCTACGAACGGGCAGGGGAACAGATATAGGTGCCGAAGGGTATCGACGACCTCGGCGTCCGAGGCCGAGCTAAGGACGCTAATACAATTGATATACGGATTGCTATTAGGCAGAGAGGCGGTAGCTATAGCGGGACGAGTCGGGGAGGCGCACTACTGTCCAAATTAGCTAAGAATGCCCTAGAATAGGCCGGAGAGCCCCGGTTACCCTAGGAGGAACTACTAAGACAGGGGATAGGAAAAATAGTTCACTTACAAATTTTAGGAAAGGTAGTAATGTTAGTATAGAGAAAGAGGAAATTGTTAGGAAAAGGCGCTCTTTTCTACGCTAAAAGAAGGTATTCGCCGGAAAAGGCTCTATTAGATTCTAGGGCGGACGAATGCGATCTATTACTTTCTATAGGTTTATTTACTTAATACCTTATTATTCCGGGAACAAAGAGACAAAACAGGGGCCTATACGGTCGAGGACAACCGTAGAAAGGGGGGGGGGCAATATTAGGATCTAGACTAAACAGCGATATAGACATCTTAGGACAGACCCGGAAAGGCCCGGAAGTACCTAAGATAGGCTAGAACGGGCTACTACGATTTAAGAGGGTTCAGGCTAGGCCTTTACCGCCAATACTAAGTTAAGATAGTTTATAGAGAGTCAGAATAGGAGATCTTAGATCGAGATATTCTAAATTAGACCCGAGGGGCTAGAGCCTCCGGGTACTCCGAAGTTACACTTATATATAGAGGGAGAAGACGCATTCCTACTCTTCTTCCAAGCGATTCGAGTAGTATATTTCTATTAGATACTTCAGCCTACACATTACATCCTTTTATACTAGCATTAGTTACTAAATCCATCGTAATCTCTCGACAAATCCTTAAGAATAGAAGTCGGCGTATTAAAAGCTCCGTAGACTTCTAGTATTTCCTGATTTCTTGGAGAGCGGCTATACTAGCCTTCGTTCGTCTTCTCGCTTTAGGCGCCTTTCGAACAATAGGCTTTTTCTGTAGTCGTTGACTTCCTAGTAGTCTCTTATTACTAGGATAGGTCTTCTATGCTACTTTTTTCGTACGTCCTAGTCTCCTTACGGCGAGACTTAGTCGAGGGGAAGCTGTATTAGAGAGCTGTCGGTCTGATCTATTATAGATAACATATAGCCCCTTTAGTTGAACCGATACTACCCCGTCTCGACTACGCCGCTTAGTCGGTAGGTCTGAATCTTCGTTCGTCTTATTATTATTAACTTAACCTATACCTCTATCTGCCTGCCTCTCCTCCGTCTGCCTCTCCTCCGTCTGCCTCTCCTCCGTCGGCTTAACCGTCTAATCTAACTACTGTCGAGTCCTCTTATTACTTCCGCTATCGTAGGCAGCCTTCGGGAGTGCTTTAGCCTTCGTTTCTTTTTGACGCGGACTATCTCTTCTTTCCTAGTCGTCGTCGTCGTTAGGAAGAGAGGAAGAGACGTAGGAAGAGAGAGATTATATATCTATATTAGGCATTTTAAGAGTTTCGACTTAGTAGGAATATATAGGATAAGAAAAAAGCAAGAGAGGATAAGTTAGTAGGTATAAGGAAGACCCGGAAATCGCTAAGCCGCTTATCTCTCGAGTATATCGGATCGCGCGGGAAGGTAATTAGTAATTAGGACAGGGGTTCTATATATATCTACACTAGTATATTTCATATTATGTTATATAGTTTATACGCCGACTACGTCTGCCGAATACGTTCTACTCTAGCTACGAGATTTCACTTTTTTACTAGAAAGTACTACGATACCTTAAGAAGTTAGTAGTCCAACTATTTCTCTAG